CTTTGCTCCCTCTGGGCAGTTTTCCTTAGATGACCCACGGTCCTGGCTTTTCTAAACTTCTGAGGTCTCCAGGGCACCTTTTGCTTCACACTCACAGCCTCACACACTGCCCTCTCAGGGGCACACTGCCTGGCCTCCCAGGCCTTCTGAAATCTGGGTGGAAGCCTCTTAAACCTCAAAACTGCATTCTCCATGCACTTAAAGCCAGGACCATGTGGATGATGCCAAGGTCTGCTGCCACCTGGAGCAGTAACCAAGTTTTCCTCTCTCTTGGCCACAGGGGTTGAGTGCCTGGATCGCTGGGCACTCTGAATCCAATTCTGAGGAGCAGATTTTCTATGCTGCTGCCATTCTGGAACCTTGGGTGGCCGCCGCCGCCATTCTGGAACTTGGCGCTCAGCAGCTTTCTCCTCAAGGCAAGGTCTTTCACCTTTGCAGTTTTAAGGCTGCAAAGGGTGGAGACTTGCTGCTTCTTGTGGTTCCCTCAGGCCATCTTTTCTATTCTCCTGTTCCTTCTCAGGAATGGAGATCTCCTCAGCTCCACCTTTGCAGTCCACAGCATTACTGGAGCTTTCTTTATGGCCAAACTCACATTTTAAAGCATCCTGCTGGGCTCTTTGTTCTTGATTCTCAATATAAATCTGGCTAAAACCCCCCAACAATAGCCATGCCACTGCCCCAACGTTTGACTGCCTTGATATTTCTTTCGCCAGCTTAATCAGTCCGCTGCCGCCCTTAATCTCAGTCTTAGGCAAAGTCTCTGGACATGAGCAAAATGCAGACAAACTTTCTGCCAAGCCATAACACACATCATCTGGAGTCCAACAACCAATGCAGTCCTTCTTCCCAACAGAAACCTCCCGAACCCGGTCTTTACCGGCAAGATTTTTATCAGCTTTCTGGTCTTCTGAGCCCTGACCAGAATCTCCCAAACAGAACAGCCGAAGGCGTTCTAGCGCTTCTCTTTCAGGCGACATCTCCAAACCTTTCCAAACACTCCCCACAAGCCATTTCCAAAGGCTCTTGAACCACATGGTCAGATATAGTCACAGCAATGACCCCACTCCTCTGGTACCCAATTCTGTCTCGGTTACTTTTTTCTCGCTGCTGGGACAAAATACCTGACACCCAAAATTAAGGAAGGAAAGGTTTATTTCGCTTACAGTTTGTTGAAGTTTCAATCCATTCTTGGCAGATTATAAGGCAGAGTGGCACGTGGCAAAGACTGCATCTCAGGGTGGCAGCACACAGCTAAGCCGCAAGCACCCACCAGGGCAGAATGGGGGAGGAGTGCCCCCAAGCAGCTTCTTCCTCTCCCTTACATATGCAAACTATCCACTCCAGGGTGGGTGCAGCTGTCACACCCATATTCAAACTCTAAAAGCCTGCCCCATGTCCACATGAGGCATTGGGGGGACAGAGAGACATAAACCATAACATAGTGTCTATAATTTATATGAGTAATGAGCAATAAAATTTCCTAGTATCTGGGGAGTGATTTTCATGTTTATGTTGCTGCTGTTTGTCTGATTTTCTAATACTGCAGTCTTTGTTCTTTTCTAATACATACATACATTGTTTTTAATTTCTTTTAAAGCACATATTTCTGGGTCCCTGAAATGAAAATGTGTTGTATGTTCATTTCCATAGATTGTGAAATCTTTTATTTTAATCAAACCTTTCATTTGAAGCATATGTCTTTTAAAAATTTGTGATTTAATCTCCAATTCCTAGTAGTATTTTAAATATGTTTCTGCTATTGTTTTCAATTTCATTTGAATAGGTATGAGAGTGTGTTTTTCAAGACTTTTACTTATTTGAGCACATTGTTTTTTTCTGTTTTTAAAATTCTATTCCATATTTGTAGTACATAATGATTGCATTCATTATAGGAGTTGGTACATATTCATAACACGTTTCAATTCTTTTTTTCACCATAGATTTTAAGTTCTTTATTATTGCTGTGAACACAGTCTATTTGGGTGAATATTTCTTGTGATTTGGAGAAGACTATGTACTCTGTACTTATTAGATAAAGTATTATGCAATGTGAAATCAATCCCTGTGAAATATGATGTTGTTAATTTTAACTGTTGCATTAAAGATTTTTATGGCTTTCTTCAGCTATCAATTTCTGATGGGTTTGTTTTGAAATTTTTAGATATAGTTGTAAATCATTGATATGTCTTTTGACATTCATGTCCATTTGGTAGAATATGTATCAAGGCCTGTTCTTTTTAGAGAACTGCTTTTTATATCATTATCTGATCACTATAATCATTATTTAATTTGAGGAACAAATGGAATAATGTCTAATATAGCTTCTGTAGATTTTGTTGAATCAATGTCAGAATATTGTGCCTTTTGCATAGCTTTCTATTTAATCTGTCTGCATCAATATCAACATAACAACCGCTCCTGTACAGGAGGGCACAGCACTGGAACCATGACCCAGATGGCTAGACATTGATCATCTTGTATCTGTTTCCTCTTTCCCTGACAGTCTCACCTGTTCTTCTGATGGGCAATACAGTGAGTCTGAGCACTGCTTGCTTGGGGTCTCTGTGTCTCCTGTTTGCAAATGTGCTGCTTTGGTTGTTGCTTCCCAGTGTGTGAATGATGTCTCATCTTTTCATATATATAAATGCAAACATACAGATATGAATTAATGTATAGTTTCTTAATGGAGATGGTGTTTAAATATTTCAAAGTAAAATTTATTTTCAAATTTGTTGGTGAGATCTAACAATAATAACAATATAAATATCCTGGGAATATTTTAAAAAGTACATCACTGGGCTTGGACAATGGAGAGTATTCAGGTGATTGATCCCTACCTGACTCAAACTTCTCTTGCCCCGTGAATGACCACTCTCCCACTCTGGTGACATTTCCTAAGTTTACTATGTGTGATTTTCTATGAACAGTGTTATTTTAGTTTCCTCCCTTGAAATTTTCAGTAAGTGGATATTACAAAAGTTGCAGAGAAATATTTTCAGAGGTTTTTTTGATTTCACTATTTACAAGTGTTGATACCTGAATCAAAGCAAAGTGCTTTCTCATCCATTTCATTGGTCATGTGGTTTAGGATTTTTCTGTTTTCCTTAAAAAGAATCACATCTATCTCAGGAATAATAGCAGCATTTTCTTTGGACATTGCAAAGAAGCCCTGGTGTGTATATTTTGGTAAACTCCAAAGTAAAGGAAATTGGTGTAGAGTGTATCATTTTTTCTTTTTCAGTTCTTGCATAAGTCTATTTCTTTATTGTGTTCTCTACACTTCATTTTCTTTAGTAATTTTCTCATAAAAGATTTGATACTTGTTTTCTATTCAGTGTTTTCTCTTGAGTTAGATATGTTGTAGTCATTTTTTAGATTTGTGTTCATGATCTTTGCTCCTGTACAAAAACTTTATACTGTACACACAGCAAATATTTTGTTCTTGTCTTGTTTATATCCTATGATTGTCTTATGAAGAAATACTTTTTTGACATCAAAAAGTTATTTCACTGTGAATTCTCAAGGCATTCAAGTTTATCTTTCCTATTTTGATATGTAACTTTATTACTGTACCTAGAATAGGATATAAAATCCAGATTTCCAAATACATACCTGTTTCTCCCTGAACATAAATGAAACAGATAGTGATTTCTTCCAGAGATGCACAACACCATCTATATCATAAAGCAATATTCTGTGTACATGAGGACACACTGAGGACTGTCCTGAGATGACCCTATCTGGACTCTCCTGAGATCCATTTGCCATTATCTGTACTAATGGTGCAGTCTAATAAAAGGTGGAATTTGAATATCTCATGTATATTATGTAAGCTATGAGTCTTGTTTAGGAGGTATTGAACGTTGTTAGACTCATTATACAGTACAGCTGCATTCTTTTTTAAAAAAATCAAAGGTGTTGTTTATAAGTGACACAATATTTTTTAAAGTTTTTCTTTTGGGGGGAGTTTGAGGCAGGGTCTCACTTCAACTTGAACTTGCTATGTAACCAAGGCTGGCCTCAAACTCATGGCAATCCTTCTGCATTGGCCTTCCAAGTGCTGGGATTGCAGGCATGTTCCACCACACCTGGCTGAAATTTTTGTTTTGTGCCTAGCTTCTTTGTGATGTGCTAGTTTTCAATCCATAGAAAATATTTCAGTCATCATCTTTCCCTCATTACTATCCCATACCTCCTAGAATTTCTTATATCTGAGTGGAAAGTGACCATTTGGTGACACTGAACTACCAAATAATATGTCACACTTTCCCTCTTTTCATTATTCATAGAGTTGCTCCAATAAAACATTTTCCATTAACATTTTAATTAGCATTCACAAACCTTTGATGCTCAGTTATGTTCTTTTCTATGAAACCAAATTTAAGTTTCACAATGTTGCCTAAATATAATCAAATAAAGCAGGACTCAATGCCACAGATAAAATTTGAAAGGAGATATTGCCTGTTGTCTGTCAAAACCATTCTTTAGATATTCATCTGCCCCAGTGTGTGGTGAATGATAATCGTGTAGGCTCCCTGTATGGGCTCTGCTCTAGAGACAGTGTACAGGTGCCCTTGCAGTGAGCCAGCGGAAGAGTCAGTGCTCCTGTTCTGCCATTGTTTTAACAGTGAGTGGCAATCTAGCATCAGAATTGCTGCCTGAAAGAAATGTGCATACACATGGAATTGATCACCAAAACATGGAGATACTGTGTGAAGGGTTCAGCCTTCATTCAGCTGTTTTGTTTTGTTTTGTTGTGTTGTGCTGTGTTTGACACAGGATCTCACTGTGTAGTTCAGGATGGCCTTGAACTCACTGTGTACCCCACACTGGTCTTGAACTCATGGTGATCATCCTGTCTCAGTCACTGAGTGCTTGGATTACAGACATGCAGCACCACACCTGGCTCAATTCAACTTTTTTTGAGAGGAGTTGAGATATCGCTGCCTCTAAGTTTCAGCCTTTCCTTTCAACAAATATATGTCTGTTTGATCATTTAGGAGACAGTGACCTTTGAGGATGTGGCAGTGAACTTCACCGTGGAGGAGTGGGCTTTGCTATATCCATCCCAAAAGAAGCTCTACAGAGATGTGATGGGGGAAACCTTTAGGAACATGGCTGCTGTAGGTAGGGGGACATCTCTTTCCCATTTATACAATCAGAGAATATTGTTTGTTGCTCATCAGTGCAGTTTCATTAAATGGAATGTGAAAATATTTTGAAGAATATCTCTATCCTGGTTACATTAAATAATGAATCTAACAGAAATCTATTAATTTTTATTTAATAATGTAATGACTTCATATTTCTATGTCTACAATTCAGGAAAAGCTTGGGATAACTGGGAAGTTAAAGAAGAGTACAAAAATTACTGGAGAAATCTAAGGTAATTTGCACTCAAGAAGAAAAGGCATGTTCCTCATGAATCAGTGTGTGAGCAGAAGCATGACAATCAAGAGAAGGAGGCCGTGTTCAAGTTTATTTAACCTCACAAATATTCTCCAAAGCTGAATATTCTGTTTCAGGTAGCTGAGATAGGATAGGTTAAGTATGTGTAATCTGACAGTTGAATAAAGAAATATTCCAATATAGGAAACTGAATTAGTACTGATATCATACAGCAAGTGATAGTACCTGACATATAAATATAAAAAATATTCTTTCATGATCATCATGAATATGTATGAAATTATAATTAGTTATTGAATATAGGTGTATATAAAAATAGTAAGTTTTGCATTTTGACAGAAACTCATCTTCAGGATATCTATGTATACATGTGAATATGAAACATTAATATCTGAAAACTGCTAACCTTGAAACAGTATTCAAGTGGAAATGAATGCTAGTGCCATAATAAATCAGTGTTTTCCAGCCATCCTGCAGAGAATTGGTTCTATATATGTTTTAAAATTCTTAGAAGGCACCCTCCACATTATTGATGGAAATGTTAAGTATAACTATGATAATCAGTACACAGATGCTTCAAAATGTAAAACTGTAACTTCCATCTGATACAGGCATACTTCTCCTGGGTATATTTCCCAAAAGGTTAAAATCATATTATATTCATCGATGCACACCCATACTCAAAGCAGGCAATTTATGACAGCTAAGCCCTGGAAGCAACCTGGATGTCCATCATTGGGTGCGTGGATAACTTTTGGTAGGCTCAGTCTGATAGTGCATTCTTTTGAACCAAGCAGTCTGGGAAGCTGATTCAGCAGGTTGGCAAGTTGAAGCTCAGCCCAAGCTACATAATCATCAATGTGAATCTCAAAATAAGAAAAAAGCTTAGGATGTAACTCAATGCTAAGGCCTGTTTATAATTCCCAACACTACAGAAAAAAAATAATGTACTATACAGTCATCCCTACAGATGAATGATATCATGTCATTTGCCAAAAGAAATGGGTGGTTCTTCATCCCAAAATGTTAAGTGAAATAAGTCAGGCACAGTATGTGAAATGTCACATGTTTTCTCCTATATGAGAAACCGAAAATATAAATTAGGGAGTAAAATAAAGGACAGATGATAGAAAAAGGAAAGGTTGAATTTTTGGACAAGGAAGTACAAACAGTGTAAGGAGAAAAGGGGAAAAGTAATGGGGTGAAAGGTATCAAAATGATCAGTATGTGATATACACACATACAAATTGCTAAGAATAAAACCAAACCTTCTGTATTGTAAAATATATCAACTTAAAAATTCCCATGTGAATACCACTTTTTTGGGAGAATGGCTGTTTGGAAGGCATCCTCCAGGGCATTCAGTTAATTCATTGTCAAAATTTCTTAGAAGGAATGATGATAACAGACTTTGTTCCTGTAAATAATTAATATGGAGACCCATTTTGTTGTGACTTTTTTTTCTTTTACAGAAATAAAGCTTGGAACCAATATAAAGAAATATCCCTTTGGACTCCAGATGCTACTACGGACATAAAACAAGCTAGTTTAAAATCATCAAAAAGCTTTGCTTCCAGAAAGTCCCAAATTGGGCCTTTGTCCCTAAATGTGCCCATCTTAACTCACACTGCATTGAAGCCATGTAAGTATTTGGGATCTGAACAGAAGCTGTACAAATGTAATCAACATGGAAGTAATTTCCAGTTCTTTCAGAAGCATGCTAGGACAAAGACTGGAGAGAAACCCTGCAGTTGTTATCAGTGTGGGAAATCCTATTCTGATCTTAGTGAAAGAACTCTCCTTAGAGAGAAATCCTTTCTATGTAAGAAAAATTTTAAAGTGTCCATCACATCTAATGATGTTCAGATCCATGTAAGAAATCACAGTGGGGCAAAACTCTATATATGTAAGCAGTGTGGGAAATCTTTCACCAGACATGGTGCGTGTAAAGTACATGAAAGAATTCACACGGGGAAGAAACCATATGTATGTAAGCAATGTGGAAAAGCTTTCAGGACACGTAGTGCTTCTCAAATACATGAAAGAAGTCACACTGGAGAGAAGCCCTATGTATGTAAACAATGTGGGAAATCATTCAGCACGCAGGGTTATTGTAAAATACATGAAATGCGACACAGTGGGGAGAAACCCTATTTATGTAAGCAATGTGGTAAAGCTTTCAGCACACGTGGATATTGTCAAATACATCAAAAAACTCACACTGGGGAGAAACCCTATATATGTAAGCAATGTGGGAAAGCTTTTAGCAATTGTAGTGCATGTATTATACATGAAAGAAATCACACTGGGGAGAAACCATATGTATGTAAGCAGTGTGGGAAAGCTTTTAGTGCAAGGTCTTATTGTAAAATACATGAAAGAACGCACACTGGGGAGAAACCCTATGTATGTAAGCAATGTGGGAAAGCTTTCAGCAGGCGTAGAACATGTAACATTCATGAAAGAACTCACACAGGGGAGAAACCCTATGTATGTAAGCAATGTGGGAAAGGTTTCAGCACACGTTGTGCTTCTCAAATACATGAAAGAACTCACACTGGGGAGAAACCCTATATATGTGAGCAATGTGGGAAGGCTTTTGGCACACAGAGTCATTGTCAAAGACATGAACAAACTCACACTGGTGAGAAACCCTATATATGTAAGCGATGTGGGAAAGCTTTCAGCACACGTGGCTCTTGTCAAAGACATGACAGAACTCACACTGGGGAGAAACCCTATGTATGTAAGCAATGTGGAAAAGCTTTCAGTTCAGAGGGTTATTGTAAAATACATGAAAGATCTCACACTGGGGAGAAACCTTATGTATGCAAGCAATGTGGGAAAGCTTTCAGCACACACTTTTATTGTGAAAGACATGAACGAACTCACACTGGGGAAAAACCCTATGTATGTAAGCAGTGTGGGAAAGCTTTCAACACAAAGTATTATTGTAAAATACATGAAAGAATTCACACTGGGGAGAAACCATATGTATGTAAGCAATGTGGGAAAGCTTTCAACACAAAGTATTATTGCATAACCCATGAAAGAAATCATACTGGGAAGAAGTCCTATGTATGCTAGCAAGTTGAGGAAGCTTTCAACAAACAGTCATTGTCAAAGACATGAATGAACTCACACTAGGGAGAAACCCTATGTGTGTAAGTAATGTGGGAAAACATTTAGTACATGCAGTTATTGTCAAATGCACGAAAGAACTCAGTGTGGGGAAACCCTATGTATATTAGCAAGGTGATAAAGCTTTCAGCATACACAGGTATTGTCCAATACATGAGATTTCATTGGGAAAAAACTTTATGTTAACCTATTTTGAAAATCCTGTAAGATTTTCTCATGTAGTGGAGACCAGTAGAAATAATTAAAACAAAATCTTTGATGTCAATATTTCTTCATAAATTTTCCAGAAAATACAATTCCAGATGGAAATCTCCTGAAATACATAGTGTGGTTTTCAGTAAATTCCTTATAAATATCTGGATTATGTACCTGTATTGTTTCATATACAAATATTGAATTAACATATTTATGTATTTTATGTGTCTCTGAGCTTACTACAGAGTGTCTTTTAAATATGGAGAATTTAAATATGCTTTTTACTTTCAAAGATGGTTTGTGTTTATGTAGTTTTTTTTTGTCTTGAAAATTAGGAGGTATAGGTCACTAAAAAATTTTCAGGCCAGTATTAGCATTTACATAAATTTTGTAATCTTATGAAATTTTACTTTTCATGTTTATATTGTTATGACATTTAATTCAGTCTTAATTTTTGCACCATATGTACTATTGTGAGTTTCTGATTGCCACTGAACAGCAGATCTTTAAATAGCCACCAAAAAGATACAATGAATTATAGTAACCTCTCCATACAAGATACATGATGGTATGACTTATCAGTAACAACTTTTAAAGGAGTTTTGGTTGGATGTGGAGTTGTTTTGGGGAGAATGGTTGCTACTGAATGCAGCAAGGCAAATCCCTTTATTCTATTCCCTGCTGCTGTGATGCCATTCTGTCTTTGGTAATAAATTTTTTTTTTCCTAATAAGCTAAATTAATGGGATGGAGGAGATCCTAACTCATGAGAGATATCATTTTGTTCTTTAAAAACTGAAATTTACTAATTTACATTTCAGATTGTGTTCTGTTTTACTAATATTTGAGATAAATTTATACAATGTCATTTCTTATTGTTCATAAAGCCCACTGTCTGATATTTTAGGTATGTGGTAATTGCCTTCAAACACAAGAACTTGGACAATGTGTGTGCATAAATCCTAGTCGTTTTTATTTTAAAGAGAAGATAGCAAAAACAAAATAACAAAAACAAAGAAAATAACAAAAAAACACAAAAAGTATAAAACAATACAGAATTTCAAAACAAGATGATAGGAAATCAACAATGGTTGTATTACTTATTGTTATCTTCACAGTAGCTGCTCAGATTACCAGATATAAGTATGCAAGATTGATCAAACAAACAATTTAACTGATTCTTTCAATAAACCAATAGAAATTAGTAGTACAATTATCTTAGCTACCGTGTGTGTGTGTGTGTGTGTGTGTGTGTGTTTCCCTTCCTTCTTTCTTTTTTTTTTCTCCTTTCCCTCATCCCAGTTGTTCTTTGCTATTGAGCAGTTTCTTTCTCTTTCACAAGATCTATTTTACTTTTCAGCTCTATTTACTCATTCAGATTTTTACACTAGGGAGACAATATGATGTTTACACATGCAGGTCTGATTTATTTCACGTATGAGTATGATCTCTACTTGCATCCATTTACCTATAAAAGCCTTGAGTTAATCTTTCTTTATAGCTCAGTAATATGCCATTATATAAAAATACCATATTTTTCTTTTCCACTCCTCGGTTGATAGGATTTGGGTTGTTTCCAAGATTGTGTTATCACAATTTCTGATGCTAAAAACATGGGTGCACATATATAACCATGGTATGGTGTTTTTCATTCTTCTGGGAAAATACGCACAAAGGGAATTGCTGGGTTAAATGGGACCTCT